GTAATTTCAGCCAGAAATTCTAGAAGGAAGGCTGTCAGGGGCTGTACCAAGGTATTCAAGGACTGCACACTATTCTAAGGCCTCATATTATATAAATGTGATCCCTAAAATGATTTAAGAAAAAACCTTATTGTAAATTACAATCTCAGATGTAATATTTTATTTATTTATATGTTTTATTTTATCCTGCTTTAATTTTTTTTTTTAAAAAAAGCCCCTGAAGCAATACAAATACAATATAAAGGTAAGGCACTCTTGTCTACAGATAGTCCTCGACTTACCACCATAATGGAGCCTGGAAGTCATGCTGGTTGTTAAGTGGGTCATCACATGACCAACCCAATTTTACCATACTTTTTTTTTGCAGTGATCATTAAGCAAACCCATTGTCTGCAATTGGCATTTTTCTGCTGGAAACCAGAAGCAAGTGCCAGTTTCCAGCCCAAAATATCATAAATCACAGTTAAGTGACACTATGGGACACTGCAAATGGTTGTAAATGTGGGCCAGCTGCTGAGTGCCCCAAATGCAATCACATGACCGTAGGGGAGGGGGAGGGGCCATTGGAAATTTGAATCCGGGTTGTAGGTACCTTTTCGTTGGGGTCCGTTATAAATTTGAATGGTTGTTAAGCAATTGGTTGTAAGTTGAAGACTACCTCTATTGTGTCATGATCCTGATGGGCAAAAGCAAACCACAGTTTAGGGCTAGGCCCTCTTTGGTGGTCAAGAGTGGCAATTAACTAGGGAATGCAAACTGAGTGGAGGCACATTTTGGGTCAGGTCTGAATTTTGTTAATAGGGGAGTTTGAGTTTCTTTTCTATTTTTCACTCTGATATACCCATTTTACAGCTTTTACAATGCCGTTCTTGTGTTTCCAACATGAAGATACTGTAGTAAGAAACTGTGCCATCAGTTTTTAGCAGCCAAGCTTAATACTTCAGAAGGTCATAAAAAGTGACTACAGGCTTCCTACCCCATATCTGGTTGGAGGAAAAAATATGGTTCTATGTATTGAGTAATTTGGGGTAGCTCTTGTACTGTACTTCAGCCCATGATATCACTTGCTTAAAGATATAGCAAAAAAGCAATATATGTTCACCTAGGTTGGAGGGTAATTGCAATATAGGAACTGGAGCAGTGCTCATTTCTCATTAAACCCCACCCCAACAAATGATAGGTGTCATAATGACGCTGTTAGAGCAATTAAACTCAATTAGGGTGAATCAGTGGAGGTATTGAAGTGGATGGAGGATTTCCTCTCTATTATCACTATAGTCCTCAGGTTACAGAAATATTAGACCCATTTAAAAATAACAACACTAAAAATAACAGGCAGATAACTGGCTTTAGTTCCACCATTATTTCACAAACTTTTTTTTTTTGAGAAAATTACAGCAAACAAAGAATGCATCTGGAGACACAAGATACAGCATTTAAAAAAAAACACTTTATTTTTAATTTGCATTTTAAATTTTGTAAACTCCCCAGGGAAGTTTATTAACAGATTATAAATTTCTAAAATATATAAAATATATTTAAAAAATAAATTCACACATGCATGCAGACATACATATAGACATAAAGGTATCTGCATGGAAAGCTTTAAAGGAGAAGGCTGTTATCTGAAGTGAGGAACGGAGATTAACCATACAAAAAGACTTCATGACAAATTCTTAGTTCCAAATTTAGCAGAGGAAATCATTCTTTGAGAACAGGATCGGGCAGAATTGAACCTCTTTCTGAGAAAGATGATTGACTTTTCACATCCGAAACAGAATTTCCTTGTAATTTTACAGTGGATGATTACGTATTAGTTTAGGAATGTGAGAAATAAACTAGCATATCTAGATTGTCACTTCTTGTCTTTTACGAGTTTTATAACATGACATGGTTATGCTGATGGGCAAACTACATAGTAACAGAAATCCTATGATCTCTGTCACAAGCAAGGAATGTGGGCATATTTGAAATACAGATTCAGGGGCACACTGAATATGAATCACAAGACTGTGATCCAAGACTGCACCTTAAAACACTTCTGTTTGCAATTTCTTCACAGCTATCATATTACAGTAGTGTTTGCCTAGCACAGCTGGGCATCATTGCAACACAACTAGAAATAAGGTCCCGAAGGCTCTCAATTTGTGACACCAGCTGTCCAACATAACACAAAGCTGTGTATGCTAATATCACTTTAAGCTAGGTCTGGAAAGCTCCATATTTATTTTATCAATAGAAAATTAATCCAGACTCTATTGGCCACCTGACCCTGAAGCAGACATGCCCTCTCCTCTCCAGTTCCTGGAAATTACCTTCCAGGGCCATTCTGATAAGAGCAGTGGGAGAGTCCAATTCTTTCAAACTGGGTTTTCTCCTGTGTGCTCATGAGGTCTTGGAGAGCTAGCTCATTTGGAAAACCCTGAAAATCTACAGTGAAGACAGCGGTGAGCTGCACAGTGAATCTGCAGGATGAAACGTATCACTTTACTGTTGTCAACTGTTGTTCAGACTGTTTTTGAATACAGTATGGGTCTCGTGCTTTTTTGAACACAAGATTAGCATAATTCCTGAATGAGCTATTCTGGAATAGCCATAAATTTGTGTCCAAAAGGAGCTGAACCGTTAGCTGATATCAGCTGACGGTGAGGCTCTCTTTGAACACACCTGAGCACTTGTACAACATCAGCACATTTTGAAAGAAGGCTAAACCTCCTATCTGGCTCTTTGTCATAACCAACCTCCTCCTTCATATTTATTCCTGTAGGGAAGGATGACTCTTTCACCAGCTGATGATTTTTTTTGGGGGGGGAGGAGGAAATGACGTAGGGTGAATCCATCAACTGTATCTTGTACACCATAAATAAAGACACCATCATCTGCCAACATTATGCTTGTAGCAGAATTGGAATTATCGATGAGGACAAGTTTTATACTGCTGATGTTGGTGGTAAGAACAAAATAACTGGGTCATGTTGAAGAGCCCCAAATCAGCACAGGCCCTTTTGTTACAGCTAAGTTTTTCATCCTCCTGCCACATACACAGAATATGTGCTATTGAACTGAGATAGCATAACAAACAATGCAGAAATGGCTGCACTACATCATGTGGCACATCCTGTTAACTTTTACGCAGTGACACAGAACAAAATCCAATGCAAACAGTAGCAGAGTAAAGCAACAAAAACCAAACATAACAGGAACCATTGTATTATGTGTTTGATCTCTAGCTTAGGGAAATGTTGAAAGCTGCCAACATTTCACATAATGGTTTCTCTTAAATTTCAGTTTCGGTATATGGCTTCTGCATGTCAGCTACTATGAAATCAGCCAGGGTAAATGTTCGTCAGTGTTGAAGGGCTTGCAGTACAAAAGCCTTGGCACAGTGGGGTACTTTGTAATATCCCTTAAAAAGAACAACAAAGTGGGAGAAGTTCGAAGACAGCAACATTTCACTACTGTCTTTCAATACAGAACAGAATAGAAGTCGGGGAAGGAGAGGACATGTGAGAGAGGCTTTATGTTCCTTTACCTTGAATTGGGAAAATCCCTTCTTACAATATTGAAAATTGCAACAGTGATGGGTTTCCAATGCTTCTCTCACCATCAGATGGATGCTGTTTTTCCAGATATTTTACCAACAATTCAGTTTTTCCCCTCAAGAGTTAAAACTGTAATAGCTATAATAAAAATCTTCTGGTAAACAGACTCATTTACCAGAAAGCAAAAGTAGCCTCTGTTTAGTTCCATTCCATTCCATCATCTAGTCTTTATATACCGATTCATTTATTGTCCCAAATGGCTGGAGACTGTAAGGGTCTGGATGGGAAGGAACAGACTCAAATTCGGCTTTAGCAATACCAAGTAACTGGATATCTAGACCACCTGATTTTAAAGAATGTCCATCTTTAGCAATAGCACTTAGACTGATATACCACCCTATAATGCTTTACAGCACTCCCTGGGCGGTACACAGTGTCAGCATATTGTCCTCAACAATCTGGTCCTCATTTTACCGACCTCAGAAAGATGGAAGAGTGGGTTAACCCTGAACCCCATTAGGATCGAACTCCAGGCTGTGGGCAGAGTTGGCCTGCAATACTGCATTCTAACCACTGCAACACCAAGGCTCTTTAGTCATTAATAGGGCAGCTCTTTCCTATTCAGGATTAGTACACAATTTGGAAACATTCCTAGACTTATAGCTCCTCCTTGAAAAGCAATTAGTAGCTATGCTAAGAAGGCTAGAGGCTTTGCACAGCTTCATCCTATAAGCCAGCTGCTCCCATTCCTGGGCTAAGAGGCTCTCCAGACAGACACTCATGCCTCAATCATGTGTGAATTATTGCAATGCATTCTACATGGGACTATCTGAAAGTCTTCTTGGAAGCTGTGGCTGATCCAGAATGCAAGGACACAAATAGTATTGGGCATGTCATGGCATTCCCTGTTTTGTGAGCTGTAGTAGTTGTCAGATAGTTGAACTCAAGCAATTCAATCTCTAGTTACTATGTATAAAAACCTTCATACCATATGGCCTCACTATTAGGTGAACAAATCTCTCTTACAGCATTTTTCCTTTCAACAATATTTGCTTATTTGCTTGTCTGCTAATCTACTTATCAACACATTTCAACATTATTCTCTTTCCCCATCCAACTGGTAGGATAGAGGCAATGCTTACTCATCACGGGTATCAGGAAAGGTGATTAATTGCAAGTTTGCTAGTGCTAGTCTTTCCATACCAATTGCTCAACATATGTAGTCTGTGATGAAGAGTTCTACCACTGCTGTCTGTCTACAGTTGACATGATTTCAGGTGTTTTTACCAATTAAGGCATTGCATGCCTTTGAATTCAGCCTAACAACAAGGAATCTGCATGGAATTAGACAGCTGCCGATGGCTGTAGCATTGGTTGTCTGGGAAAGATCTCCTGCTTCTATCCTTAAAGAGATTCAGGGACTGCTATATGGGCAAGCCTGGGAATATCACAACTTACCTGAAAGGCGTCACCTGCTTGGTTCACTTTTAGTGTGTCTTTGATGAATTCAATGCATAGCTGAAATAAAAGAGCAAAACACTGCAAAACATTCTGTAATACTGTGCAATACAAATAATCTTCATTTAGCAACTGCCTTGTTTAGCAATCATTCATAGTTATAATGATGATGAAAAAGTAACTTTGCAACCAATCCTAGCATTTACCGTAAAACCTTCACTAGTCTGTAAAGCAGTGTTTCTCAACCTTGACAATTTTAAGGCATGTGGACTTCAACTCCCAGAATTCCACAGCCAGCAATGCTGGCTGTGGAATTCTGGGAGTTGAAGTCCACATGCCTTAAAATTGTCAAGGTTGAGAAACACTGCTGTAAAGCAAAGGAAAGCTGCTCTAAGATCATGAGCACTGTTAAGAGCATAATTGGTGAATTCTTGAGTTTTCCGATCCTCTGGCACTGAATCATCAAGTCCTCCATCTATAATTGATATCATGAAGTCCAGTAAACAGAAGCTCTTCAGGGTTATCATATACTATGTATACTTCTGGATGATCCAAAATCTGGAACTAAATATTCTTTTTGTATTAAGTAATAGAGCTGGTATGTTGTAATACAGTAATAACAGTGACAACTAAATGTCAGGGGACATATTGACGGAATGAATTTAATTTGGGAGAAATTAAATCTCCCATTGTTAATAAATATAAAACATTTCACATTGTGAATTTTAAGAAAGATGAGTAAAAGATCAATAATAACATGGGTTTATCTTTGACTGGAAAATATAAGAGAAAATATTTTTTATCCAAACCTGTTCTAGCTTGGTTTTGGTTTTCTTTTGCCACCTGAAGCCAGATTCTGAATGCTTATTCATTTTGCAATGGTAAAACAGAAAGGCTGGAAAAAAGCAGATCTTGGACCAGAAGGCTGGTCTTCTTACAGAGTCACATGCTGCTTACTCATTTATGGAAGTAGACACAATTTTGCACTCACTCACCTCTTGCTATTGAAACTTTTTATAGAATTTCATTTGACTTTTCACCCCTACTTGCAGTTTCTGACTTCATAGCTATAAATATTGTTCTGGTAATGAGCAGAATACTAGTGGATTGGAAAAGAAATGAGTGCAGAGGATTACATGGCTTTGGGGGGGTTTCCCCAGGTACAGAATAACCACCCACCCACCATTATTAGCAATGCCAACTACTGCATATGTGTGACTCATTATAGCTCAACAGTGGGATCCTGATCATTTTAAAAGACAAGTCTCCTGTAATGTGATGTGGAGAAGTCAAAATTAGCCTTTGCTGAATCACATTGGGTCTTATTCACTCTGCAGTACAAGCAGAAAAAGGTTATTCCTATGAACTCTCATTGTCAATCTATTTTCCACTTTCACTAATTTAAGTTCAGACATTACTCTACTACAGACATGTCCAAAGTCCGGCCCGCGGGCCATTTGCGGCCCGCGGCCTGGTTTAATCCGGCCCTCGAGCAACCCTCCCTGCTCTATATAAATGCGGCCCTCCCACGGCCCTCCGGCAAGTCCCATGAGAGAGAGAGACAGAGACAGAGACAGAGGCACTTGCACTTGCACTTCTCTCTCTCTCTCTCTCTCTCTCTCTCATGGGACTTGCCCCCTCGCAGGGCTCCTCATTGGCCCTGCGCCCTGTTACCCCGCCCCCAGCCGCAAGCCACCATCTGCCCTGTGGTTATAAGTGTCCCGGCAGTTGGGACCCGCCCCTCCCGGAAGTCAATCAATCCTTGGCGGTTCTCCATCCGGCCGCGGCTTTCCCCGGCCGGCTCCAGCAGTTCCGGCTGATTGCCGGCACGTGGCTGTTTCTCCCTGGCAGCCTCGGCCCCCCCAGCCCTGTTGGTGAGCGCCCGGCAGGGCGCAGCGTCACCAGGCCTCCCCCCCTTGCGCAAGGCTTCTGGCGTTCCCCCTCGCGCCTGGCTACAGAGGCTCGGGGTTTCCCGTCCCGGGCACGCCAGGCAGCGCTGCAGGGAACGGAAGGAAGGGGGGGAGGGCCATGCCTGGAGCTCCGCAGGCCGGGGC